GTTGATCATGCTCTATGATGGTCTGCCACTTTAGCTACACTTAGTTTTGTGTATTTGGCGATTAAACAACTTTTTGAAAAAGCATGCTCACCTCAGATTTCGTAGCCGGATAAATCAGACGGGCAGTAACACTTGTCCTGGAGCTTCTAATAACATGGATCCGGATGTCCATGAAATGGACAAACGGGGAGTTAAATTGGTCGTTGGAGCAACCAGGTAAGCGCGGTCTTCGTTTAACTCTGTGAAAACTTCCGAAATAGCATTTTGTCCGTCTGAAAAGTTAGTTGCCATTACACAACGCTTCCTTCGGCACTTAGTTGAGATGGGAACCATAAGTTAAGAATAAATACAAGACCCACACGTATCTGATGGATGGCGTCTACGCCCCATCGCCCGAGTTTACTTCTTTAAATGTGCCCCAAACGAATGATTTCTTACTCGATCAGCAAGTCAACAACGCTCTTCTTATCCGCCGAATGACACCGTTCGGAAAATTGATGCATCTACCTGAAGACAAAATCATCTAGGATATCAGTTCATCCCAACTTGTCCTTGGTTTTGTGCTAAGGCCGGTGAGGAGGCCAGCTAAGGATGGGAACGGTTGTAAGGGCACATGTCCTCGAACGCAAGCTCAAACTTACATTCTTTACGGCTGTGTGTCAGAGGACTCAATTTACATCGAAAGTCTATCGCCGAGCAACTGCACTAGGAAGCGATTATTCGCGATGGTGTCAACCTGCAAAATGGAGAGAGTTGAGGCGATAATTTTGACGGTCACCACGACTATAAGCAAGCAATGAGCGACCACTTATCTGCGTTTTTCGTGATACAACGGTTTGGATAAAATAAAATGCTTCATTTTGCTTACTGGCACAGTCATATGTGGACAAAATATTATCAGTAAGTAGCGTTAAACGGTGAGGAGGGCTAATATAAACACCTAAACAGGAGATGGAGACAGGAACCACCCGCAAAGCAGGTGTGTTTGCGCCAAATTTCAGGATTAGGTTCATGGTTAGGTGTAAGCCCAGGTGTGGATTTATGTTTAGGGTTAATGCCGGCGTTAAGGTTAGTTAAGTTTGAGTTTAGGTAAAGTTTTGGCCTAGCACTAACTGTAGGGTTACAGCTGACATTAGGACAGTGGTTTAGGTTTATGTTAGGCCTGGTGCTAGAGTTGGGACGCCGCAATATGTACTCTTCTTGGAATTATGCGCAGGACTACCTTTATTACTTGGGCGCGTGTCCTGTTTGCTGGGTCGTAAAGATCACTCTTACCCATTAAACTGACCAAGACGTTGAAGGTGACACTGGTAATTTTGCAGGAATGCCCAAGAAATTCTCCAAAGTGTCGGGACTATCTTGTCCACAGCACTGTTAAGGGAACTAACAGAACCAGAATTTTTCCAAACTAGGTTACACATACCACAAGTGGTACTGTATAGGAGTGGACGTATTCAGCAAATTCCATAGGCTCAGCGAAGTAAGTGGAAAAAAGCTGGAAGTGCGTGCCACTTGACATTGCAGTAAAAAAGAATGAGCCCGCTTCACCAGATTCAAATCCACAACTGCTTCTGTCCAAAACAGTATCAATGAGGAATATTGCCAACAGTATTGTCGGAAGAAAACAGGACGCAAGTGGGGGAGTGTAAACGCAATATCACCTTTCTGTGAGGGTGAAGGCACTGGCCGATCCAGCAGAGGCATCTCGCACAAGGAACGCTCCATCCGGTTGACCCCGCATCACCTCAGCCACCTCGGACTGAGAGATGTCGCCCCAGTACCAGTCTCGCTCGTCCAGGTCTCGGCGGTTTCGTTCGACAGACCGTGGGGTAGGCGGCATGTCGGCAGACACCACGATCGTCGTATGAGGAGATTCAATGCCGCTGTCGGAGGTCGAGCCCCCGGCTTGGGCCAACAATTCGGCATACACAAAGCAGTCTGTGGAGAACAGTCATAACGAGATGAAGATTGGAATTACTGGGTAACTGCAAATCGTGCACTGGGATCACATCAGCTTGTATTATGAAAATACACAAGCAAACAAGTAATTGTATTCAACCATCTGAAAGCTTCTACTGAGACCGGTTTTGCCACGGTTCTGAGCAATACCGTCATCAAGTGCTGGTTGTACCTCTTTAATGATGTTAAAAAGGTGTTTTATAACTGGCATTTAACCGCCTAGGCATGGTCAACATTTGCTTACACGCCAGACTCGCACAAAGCCTTCTGACGCTGTGTTAAAATTTGGTGTATACAGTAGTTTTTAAGGCCAATCAATGATGCGTGTCTTCACGAAGAGCTGGCTCATTGTTTTGAAGATAGTTGGGGTGCTTTGGTAGTTGACGTAACAGAGCATTTTAAATGGTCTGATGAGTCCAAGCTTAGTCTCAAATGCACGTCTACAGTGGTAAGCAGTTTACCGTGCTGCTGTTAGGCAGGCACTTGGTTGAAGTGGTTAGAACATTAGTTGGACTAAAATAGAACAGAACATCGTAGTATCAGATAACCTAACCACCATTACCAATTGGCAAAGTAAATATGAATGGAGATGGCTTTGGAGGCAGTGACTGAATTGGCAATAGGCCCAGTTAAGACAGCGACTTTCGTCCTACTGACCTAACCAGACGACACGATAGTTCGACAGTCAAAAGTGACGAAGTTCACTACAGCCTACGAGCTGGATTTAACATTATTAGCGGGTGGATTTACTTGGAATGAAGCACATTTTCGCTAAATCTATCAACGCACCCTTTTGATACCCACGATCTCTCATGAAAAAGCAAATTCAAGATGACAGAGTTGAGTATCGACACAGAGGGGCAAAGCTAAACAGTCCGTCTACGTTCGTCATACACGACCTGGTCTTTAACTACAAAGGAACCAGGCACCAGTGAGGAAGTCTGTGAGTTAAAGGAAGTTATTATATCATAAAAGCAATATCAAGAAAGGTACTATTGCTGCTGGGTCTACAGTAAAACTGTATTATCCCGCTAGTTAGTAACCCTTCAAGCCAAAATCACTGATAGCAAACTGTGGTTATGCATCCCGCTGGCAACGCGATATTTTATTAAAAAGGTAATAGGTCGAAAGAGTAGCATGAAACTACGAGGGTTGTCCACCATCCAATTCGGATTTATCTGTTAACGTCGGGTACAATCTAGAAGCATCCGCTTGGTGTGGCGGACGGGTGAATGCGGACGCTCATCTTAGGATCCAACGACCAAACGGAACCATGCCTTAACCAACTTAGTTATTGCTCAACCGCGCGTTTGGACGACCGGAAGGCCATGGTCTCCACAGTGTGGTTGAACTTTCTGAGCGTTAATGACTCTGATAAGAGCATTTTCCTGTTCCAAGACTTTGCCTAGAAGAGACTGCCTGGGACATCTTAACACCACATCCACCGCGAGCCAGAAGGTGTACAGGAGAGACTACAACTAAAGATATGCATGCTTCAAAATCAAGTGGTGCACAGAGAACAAGAAGGATGGGGGAAGTATGTTTCGACGGCATTGTAAATGCCCTCATCGATCGCTCATGCTCAGTATTATGTCGAGATTTTTAGTACGACATGAGCAAAGACCATTTCCGTACTTGATCCCTTTC